TATAACGAAAACCACCAGAGATTTTTTTACGAACCAGTGGTAAAAGCTTAACATAATATGACTTTCATTGAGTATTCTTATAACATTATTAAGTGGCGAAGCTTGCGAAGTCACTTATTGATTTCACGATGTCTGTCCGTCTGTCCCACGATTATCTCGAGAACGGTTTCGAATTTTCAAATTCTGTTTTCAGCAATCGATTACTGATCACCCAGGCATCTGAACCTCCTATTTTCAAATTGATGGCTCAACGGCAACCGTTAGAAACCGCTACAAAGCTGATTGCTTCGACACTTTGCTATGCTGTTAGCTTGCTAGGTTTATTTTATTACGTATTATTGGAACGAAGTTCCTTATCGGACGGTACGAATTTGGCGCATGCGGGGCTAGGCGAGAAAAGTGTAAGATTTTTCCGTCACGACCCCTTCAGACGTAGTGTAGACGGCCTTGGCGGCTATAAGAAAGCGAGATGGAATAATATCCATCTTCCTCGCACTTTTTCTTAAATTGCCGTGAAAGGAATATTATTTTAAATGACACTTCATTTAATAGACGCTTGTAATTAATTTATTTGTATGTGTCAATTAATAATATTTTTTATAGGATTGAATGACAAACGAGCACACAGCCCACCTGATGGTAAGTGGTTACTGTGACCCATAGACATCTTCATCTATCCTCAATAAAGAATTAAAATGCAGATGCGTTGTCACCCGCGAGGACTAAGATGGAATAATCTAGACTTACAATACGAAACACAGCAATGTTAAGCTGCTATTTTACGCTGGTATTCTGTGAGAGCGTGGTCCTTCCCCGATCGAGCCGACCCATTCGTGCTACAACTATACTATTAATATAGCTCTACCACGTATAAACGTTTATCAAAAATCATAATATCAAAAGTTCGTTCCAACCGAGTGTTCCACGACACTCACGCATGTTTTTTATTTTATATAACATAGAGGAATATTTTAACCAGATATTCAGGTTTTCTTCATTTAATAAATTGGAATAATCTGGATAAATGGTTAAATTTTTAACCATAAATCATTTAAACATAAGCCATAATCTTTGACAGTTTTAGTATGGTACCGGGGATGAAATTGCTCTGAACTGGCATATGACATCTCTTATTTATTTTTCCTTAAACAAAATATAACAAATGATTTGCTACCTGCAAAATAATAATCTAAATATTACTTTATCTCATAGCATAATACAATCAACATGTCAATCTATATGAACTAACCCTGATTGATGGATAAAACAATTCAATGTCAATTATACATTACTTTTTAATTTCCTCAATAATACTTATTTTTGTCGTATCTCGTAAGCATAAATAAAATTTATTAAAAAGATTAAATCGATTCATATCTGAAAGTCAAAAATTGATTAGATTTATGACTCCTACTGTAAGTTATCAAAAACAATATAATTTTTTATCATCTTTTCAATTACCTGTTTACGTATTTCTTTATTTCATAATTTGAACAAATAGGACATATTTCGGATTGATTTTGATTTATTAATATTTGGAGAACAGTCTAAAGAAAAAAAAACTCGAAAGAAAATAACAACATACAACTATCAATATTATGCGAAAGAAAAAGATACTAAGATTAAATAGAGCTAGTGAAAGGAGCTATTCTTTGTATGTGTATGATTAATATTAAGACTTATGAAAACATTAGCTTATATATCATAAATTGATTTCAGTAATCACCAGGGCCAATTTTTTTATAAATAACAAGTACATTATTATTTCAAAATAAAGAACCCATCTGCTCAGGTCTAACCGGGTTATATATTCATAATATATAAGTTATTATAGCTAATTCTATCAACCGATTATCCTAATATGCACAAAAAAATAAATAAATTCATTACAAAGATATCGTGAAAAGTAGAATATTAATCACAGGAAAACGACTTCAAATTAATTTTTAATACTTGATATAAGACCATAAAATCACGTAAGAAAATCTTGTTGCAAAAACGCTATTCAAAAATAATCCCTAATATTATCGAAATTAAATTGTTATCGATAAACCAGTTAAAAATTTTAAGGTGTAACTTATTATACATTTTGTCTAGCTGGTGGAAATTCATGTACAAAAGTTACGTTGAAACACTGTTGCATTTCCTTAAAATGGTAAATAAAATAATATTTTCGGAGTGTCACTTTAATAATATCAAAATGGCCAACGACCTTACAGTTCAACTGATGGTAAGTTACTGTTACAGCCTATTAAAGTCCACACCCTTGGGGGAATATTTGAATTAATGAATGAATGAATATACTTTTATTGTACACCACAATATATATATACGCATGCCAAGCGTGGTAATATTTGCCATAGTTACCCCGCTTGGCATGCGGTGCAAGGACTAAGATGGAATGCCTCGTATCCAGTAAAAAGGGTCTCCGGTTCTCTACATTCACCATACGAAACACAGCAGCATTAAGTTGCTATTTTACGTTGGTATTCTGTGTGAGCGTGGTCCTACTCCGGTCGAACCGGCCCACTCATGCTACAACCATAAAATAGCTGCAGCTTGGCTCTATCACGTAAAAAGGAGAGAGTAGAGTAGAGTAGAGTATTTTTGATAGTTTTTATTACACATACACGATAAACCCGGGTTAGTTCCCCGCCAAAAACAATTAACTTGTTAATTGTAATTTTAAGTACTGATTAATTATGTGTTCTGCGATGAAGAAAAACATCGTGAGGAAACCTGCGTGTCAGAGAAATAAGAAAAAAATATTTCGAAGATATGTGAAGTTCGCAAACACGCATGGGACAACGCGGCGGACATTTCCTTGCCCTAAAACCCACTCAGAAATAAGACGAGGCCTGTGCCCAGCAGTGGGACGTATATAGGCTGTAACTTTGACTTTAATTATATCAAATACAGTCAAAATGCTAAAACTTACTAAAACACAATAGAAATCGCGCGTATCTATCAATAATACAAGGGTTGGCGCGTGCAGATATAAATTAGACGATCCCTAAATGGGTGGTGCTCATCCAGATGGCCTCCCAGGTAGAGAAAAAGTCTTACGACCTAAAATTACGACCTAACTCTTACGACCGAAATTAGCCTTCGGAGTAATTCCAGTCGCTCAATTTCTACATCGCAAACGACATAACTCGCGATACCATCCATACCGTCTGGATGGTTGGCGGTCCACCACTGTGCGATTTATAAGAAGTTTTCTTCTTCGTACAACTTTCCTGTGAAATCGACTACCACCAGCGATTTTTCCGGACCGACACGACTTAGGGGCCTTCAATAAAAGAGCCTACTAAGGCCGGCAACGCATCTGCAATTCCACTGGTGTTGCAGTTGTTCATGGGCGGCAGTAGTTACTTACCATGAAGTTAGCCACTCGTTTGCCCCCTCTTATATAAAAAAAGGAAATCATCTAAAGAAAGTTGACCAAAAATCTTCCATAATTCCACTAAACAATAGTTTTGTGGATAATTCCGAATTTACTCCGAATAAATGCATAAACATATCGGAAGTTTTTTCGATAGGACATGATGTGATAAGACATAATGATATGATATGCATGTACACAATGTCAAATATTATACAAATTAGGTATATACCAGTAAAGTCATTTAATTCCGGGTTTAAAGTACTGAAATGTCAACTCTACCTAGTACGTGTTATCTTTATCGTTTGAAAATCACTTCTGTACAGAGGCATATGTCGAAACTAGCTGTTCGCCGCGACTTCGTTTGCGTGGAATTTATTATGGTTGGATTTCATGGGTTTTGATTTTTTTTACGAGGAACCCTAATTTTTTTTTTCTAAAATAAAAGTAGCCAAAGTTATTCCTTACGATGATAACATTAGCCATCTGTTAATAAAAGTCCCGTCAAAATCTTTCCAGCTATTTCGGAAATTATCCGTAACAAACAGACAGATGATTTTTTTTAAATTGTGTTTTTGTTATAAGTGGCGTATATACTTTCATATGCATTTAGTAAAAAGATGTTATTTTGACATTACAAAGAGACACTTCAATTTTATACATTTGTATAGATATAGATGTATAGATTGTTCATTTTGTACCGACTTCAAAAGGGAGACGGTACTCAATTCGGCTGTATGTCTTTTTTCTTTTTTTTATGTGTATTACCTCTCAACGTTTTACTGAATCGATTTCGATGATCCTTTTTTTATTTGAAAGCTGGTGCTTCACAAGTGTTCTTCAATTTGATTAAGGTCTGACCAAGAGTTTTTGAATTATTCTTATTTATATTGAAGTCGGTTGTACAATTTTTTTAATTTTGAATTATGTTTGATTGCAATTGCAATACGGATGATATTTGGTGCTTACTTACCGAGATGTCTCATTTAGTGCTAATACTGATCTGATTTAAATATTTCATTACACAATTTGTCATGGTTCAATATTTAAATACTTATAGTGTATTTGAAATTTAATGTTGCGTAAATTCACTTGTTTATAAAGGAGATAATGAAAAATTAAGATGGCCACCACCGCTAAATATTAACAACAACCATAGAGTAACAACAGGAATAGTACTTATAACCATTTCATATTAAAACAGATTTAGTGACTGACCTAGTGCCATCTTGTGACGTCATAGCTGTCAATTCAAACCAGTTAGATAGGGTGAGCAAAACAGATATTTTTGAATAATGATAATTTTGAAATGCGACACCCACTCCGTATGCTGCTACTTTACGTCCCTTTCGTTTTCTGGTAGAGCCGACCCATTCATGCTACAAGCATAATATAGCTGCAGCGTGGCTCTACCAGGTGTGAAATGATGACTCTCAAGGACTAAGATAAAATGACTCTTTACCACCATGAGTAAAACTGCAGCATTATGCCGCCATTTTACGCTAGTATTCTATGAGAGTGTGATACTTCCTTGATCGTGGAAGTATGGTATTACCACGTATACTTGACCACCGAGTCGTCGGATAGCCATGATAAATAATTTATGAAATCTTACCTCCTGACCAATTTATCCAGTCTATAATCGTCAGGGTCCTTCTTGGCGTCGAGGGCGAGCTTGTAGAAGATCCTCGCTGCAGCATCCGAGCGGTCGTGCGCTGAGTACACGAACGCGTGCAGCTGTCGCAGCAGACTCCAGCTCAGACGCCACAGAGACTTGCTCATCTTTGGTGTGCACGTCACGAATCTGTTGGGATGGATCAGAGTTAAGAATTTATGGCATATAAAAATGACAGACGTGAGACGTGAGTTATAACCAAAAACACATTTTTTGCATTTTGCATTATATATACATAAACTTTTTTTTTGCATAAACCTTGACTATAGAGCGGTAATGATCAATGAGTCCCTCTCACTGTAGGAAGGTCCTCACGCCTGTCAGGCAAATTAACGATGCTACCTTTGTCGCTGCTCCTTACCACCGGTATGGGTATATTGCGTCTGGCGTATATAAGATGGTGATACCACCGTCTATGAGAAGCCATAAGATTTAAAAAAAAAATTATATTAATATTAATTAAAAAACATTAAAGATGTTAAAAATCAATCAGATATGATCCGCGTTGTTAAAAATTATGTCTTACCTAGTTTGAAAAGCAACTCACACACATTTTCACTTAGCAGCTAGCCACCATATAGTCTATTTCACCTGAGAATCTCGTTTAGAAACGCGTGTCGTATTGTCGACTGTGGTGTGTCCATCCTATTGTAGAGGTTGTGAAAGTTGTGGTGTTAGGATTAGTAGTGACAGAGATAGTGCACACATTTGAGGGAGGCGGGAAGTGCACTCTCTAAACTAGGTAAGACACGTCGTTTTATTTTATTACGCTGATCTTAGCTTATTATTTATTAACATCTTCAAACTAGCGCCTGACTCTATTAATTAAAGCACGGTCGCGTAGCAGGAATTTTTTTATTGCTTTGCATTTTTAAACTTAATTCCCATCATAAAAAGTTTTATTTCTATTGCAACTAAAATATTTTTAGGACCTTTTGAACAGTATTTGTTATTCTCAAATAATTAAAGTTCACATTTTTATGAATTGCAATAATTTGAAATTCTTCGTGCTCCGCGATCACGCCATACCAAAAGATTTTTCTAGCATTCAATATTACGACACACTTATGAATCAAATCGCGGTGATCGATTCTCTTACGCCGTCACCATACAGCAGTATTTTTTTACAGAATAAGGGTGGCAAGCGAACATACAGTCCACCTGATGGTAAGTGGTTGCTGTGGCCCATAGACATCTACATCTATCCTCAATTAAGATTCAAAATGCAGATGCGTTGTCACCATTGAAGACTAAGATATAATACCTCATTTCCAGTAAAATGGGTCTCCGGTTCTCTACACTCACCATACGAAACACAGCAGCGTTAAGCTGCTATTTTACGCTGGTATTCTGTGAGAGCGTAGTCCTTCCCCGGTCGTGCCGACCCATTCGTGCTACAACTATACAATTAATATAGCTGCAGCACGGCTCTACCACGTTTAAAATAAAAAGAAGTTGAAGTAAAAGAAATACTTTCCACTCGACTCAATACTGGAGACGCATAAAACAGTCCGAAGCTAATCTGTCTGTCTGTCTACGCATCACATCCTTATTGTTTTTCTACATACTATTTTATTACGAGTATATTGTACATTGTTATATATTTATGTGGAGATTGATGTGGCTCAGAAGAGCTAGAACCCAGAGCCGTAAAGCCAGTTTAAAAAAAAAGGAGATTGATGTAATTTCTGATAATGCCAGGAAATATTTCATTACGTAACTGCGTCATCACGATGCAAAAACAAACCAAGTACATGTGGTTGTTATGGTTAAAGTATGTGTAATGTACGCAATATGTGTTGAGATAAGAGTTTCTAATGCGGATATAATGTGGGCACTAATGTTATTTGAGGGCCAATATTATTTCACTCACCAGATATCGCTAGTTGTGACTGATGTAAAGTGTTTTGTTTCACAATGTCAGTTTATTGAGAAATTAGTTTTAAATAATAGTTTATCAGTTGCTAGAGTATGTATTAGATATATTATTACACAAAACAATGCCTCAGTGGTTTGACCTTTAACTTTTTGCACTTTTGAACTCTTTGTTTTCATTTTTCTACTTTTACATAGATCCATCTAAGACATGCACACCTAATCTATAACTGTATAATCCTGAATTGACAAAGAGATGACGATTGACTATTACTACTACATCGCGGGTCCTGGCCTCGAAAGCTAAATCTGAAAACAATACGAATAGGTACTTCGCGTTGATGTTTTGGTTGAAAGTAAACCTATTTCATATTAAAAAAATACGAAATTGGAATCGAGTCCCAGACAAATACAAAAATATTTTTACATGAAGTGCTCATCGATTCTTTCTCGAATTAACGCCGGCGTTTGGTGTCCACGTAAACCAGCGCAAACACTATGCGCTATAAATAATCTGCATTGATGTTTGTGTAACGTCCATGTCATACCTATGCCGGTAGTGGGCATTAAGCTCGAAGTTGTTGACGAGTATGTTTACCTAGGACAAATAGTCCGACAAGGTAAGTCCTACTTCGACCGAGAGGTTAAATCGACGGATTCAACTTGGCTGGGCAGCGTTCGGGTGATTACGACACATCTTCTCGTCAGATATACCTCAAAACATGAAAACGAGACTGTACAACCAGCGCGTGTTGCCAGTGATGACTTATGGAACTGAGAAGTGTTCCTTCACTGCTGGCCGTATGAGGAAGCTCATGGAGGGCTATACTCGGTGTTTCTCTGCGTGATAAACTTAGAAATGAGGATATCGGCAGTAGGACTAGAGTGACCGACATAACATAACGGATTAGTAAGTTGAAGTGGCAAAGGGCCGGCCATACAGCTCGAAGAACCGACAAGCGATGGGGAAAAAGTTCTCGAGTGGCAGCCTCGTACCGGTAGGCGAAGTGTAGGGCGTCCCCCCATTTGATGGAGTGGCGCCCTGGTAAGACATGCAGGAAGTCGATGGATGCAGGTGGCTCAGGACCGTGCTTTTTGGCATTCCTTGGAGGAGGCCTATGTTCAGCAGTGGACTTGTGAAGGGCTGTAATGATGATGATAATGATTAATGATGTTTTTTCTTTCAAAAATCAAAGGTTTCTAATATCCATACTATTACTATGAAACTTGTTATCTTTTTACATAAATTAAGATGTTAATGCGGGTAAGTTATAACATTACTTGATTTACGTCACACTACAGTACTATTGTTGAATTAGTATAGATTCCTCTAAGAAAAATCATAAAGCTACTATTTTCGCAAATAATACCTATATGCGTTTGAGTTAATTCCAGTCGACCAGACGGATGTCGCTTTGAGTTTCGCATTATACGTGAATCTATTGTTGCAGTCCGCTGAACTGAAGCTGAAAGCTTTATTACCTACTATCAGTTCCCCGCGACTTTGCCCACGTGGAATTATTTTGCGCGAAATCCTAAAATAAAAGTTGCCTAAGTTACTTCTTATAACATCAGCTATCTGCCAGTGAGAGTCCCATCCAAATCGGTTCACAGGTTTTTGCGTGAAGCGTGTTCAGACAGGCGTCGTGTTTTTTTTTTTCGACTTACTTAACATTTATTGTTATATTTTGGCCAATTTTCCACAATATCTTTATTAATTATAGCTTATGTGTTATTCTGATGTATGAGCTATATAATTGTAAAGTTTTATTAAAATCCTTTCAGTAGTTTTTGCGTGAAAGAGTAACAAACATCCATACATCCTCACAAACTTTCACGTTTATAATAATATTAGAAGGTTTTCTGTCTGGAAGCAACAGTGCACCTAGTGCTGTATTTTAGAATGGACAGAGAAAGAGAACAAACATAATTACAAGGTGTCTTATAGTCTTTAAGGGTAACAACTCACTTGTAGCCATTTTGTTTTAATTCTGGCAGGTGGCTAAATATTGCAATGGCCAATTACCATCAGGTGAATTGTAACTGTAGTGTTATGAAATTATCATAACTTTATCTCTCTCTCTTTCTTTCTCTCTCTCTCTCTCTCTATTTCTCTCTCTCTCTTTCTCTCTCTCTCTTAACTAAGAGTTTGTACACGAGTAAGGAAGTGTTTAATACTATTTAGTGATCTCGTATAGAGATACTACATAAACGTATATCTTACGTCTGACAGCACGGGATCTTTCAAGTGGTTGTCAAACGCAAAATATTATTAACTACTTTATTCATATTTCTGTTTCAAAACCGGAAATAACCAGGCAATTTAAAAGGATACGATAGTGAACAATGATTTAGCTACATATCGATAACGATTGTGTATCGATAAAGGTCGAGCGGAAAATGTGGTGTAACCTCAGATGAAGTAAAAAAAGGTAGATATCGCACGTAGAATAAGAAACTGTAACCAATTTTATAACTTTGTGTGAGTCAGAGTAGTGTTGCCACTTTTTTTTAAAAAGTCCCTGAAAATAGCGATACGATACTATAAATATAAGAATCCCATGAGCATGTAAGCATCGACAAAAAAATACAACATATGTGATTTAAAACATGTTTATTATAAAAAAATTGCTTAATACTAAAAATAAATCTACTATCATGGCAATAATAAAACATGGCGTTTTCACTTAATCAATTATATAAATCGGTGTCAATGAAATTTTGAGTTATTAAGTAATTGATAATTTCTTTGAGGGTCGAGTTCCTGTTTTTGAGGCGTCTGACTTTTATTGATTCCATTGGAAGGCGGAAATAGTTTCTGCAATAGAAATAAAACTGTCGAAGAATCTAAATACATAATTATAAACAAGTAGTTAATAACGAAAGATATACTGTAAACTGCGAAAATCGCAAACACACATAATTATTATATAACATATACAAAAAGAAAAAAGGAACCCCTTATTTATTTGAAGTCGGTTAAAATTACCTTTTTTCTATATTCTGTTCTGGGAACTCGGCGAAGTTCACGTTTTGTGTCGTTCAAGTCAGTCTTATCAAAATGGTCTTGAACAAATAACACTAGATGGATGGCTACCATTGTAGTTCATTTCGGCTTAGTCTTATAGCAGCTACCCATTAATCTCATATTAAATTATTCGTTGGAAGCCTAAAATCATAAATAGTTTTTGATAATAAAATAATTCTAAGTACTCAAAAATTAAAAAAACATCAGCGAGTTAAAAAAATTAATA